GCCGAGGCAGGGAGCAGGCTTCCCCGTTTGCACCCGGGGAGACTGAGGCACAGGAGAGTGAGGGGGTTCCCCCGGGTCCACCCCGCTAGCAGATGGCCAGGCCGAGGCAGACGAGGCAGTGTGGCTCCAAGCCGGACCCCAGTGTGGCGTGAGGAAGGCGGGGCCCCAGCTGTGTGGGCTGGGGTGGTAGGATCCTCCTCAGCTGTCCCCACAAGCTTCTGTCTCCTCGTCCCTAGAGGGGAGCTCAGAGTTGGGGGCCAGGGAGTGAAGCTGGCGCATCTCCGGGGCCCTTGGCTGCCAGATCCCTGACTGGCCGTTGGTCAGACACGTCACCCTGAGGGTCTTGTCTGCAGAGCAAGTGAGTGTGGTTTCTCTGGGTTTCCTGCTGGAAGCTGGGGGTCATGGCCACGGTGTCCTGTCCCTCCTCCAGCTCAGTTTGCCCAGCTGGCCCAGGTGAACCCGCAGGAGCGTCTGAGCCGGGAGACAGCCCTGCAGCAGAAGCAGGTGTCCCTGGAGGCCTGGCTGCAGCGCGAGGCCCAGACGCTGCAGCAATACCGCGTGGTGAGTGGGGGTGCGTCCCTCTCCTCCAATCCCGCGTGGTGAGTGGGTGTGCGTCCCTCTCCTCCAGGCCTGGGGTCCACATCCTGAGCTCTCGGGGACCGAGAGAGGGATAGGCCAGGGCCCCGGGGGGCAGGAGGCCTGTGGGGGCCTGAGAGGCAGAGCAGGTCGGGGGGAGGCCCTGCCTCCTGAGCGAGGCCCTGCAGGGTTGTTCCCCGGGAGCCAGAGGACCTGCTCCCCTCCCTCAGGAGCTGGCCGAGAAGCACCAGAAGACCCTGCAGCTGCTGCGCAAGCAGCAGACCATCATCCTGGATGACGAGCTGATCCAGTGGAAGCGGCGGCAGCAGCTGGCCGGGAATGGGGGGCCCCCTGAGGGCAGCCTGGACGTGCTGCAGTCCTGGTAATGGGGGGGGAGGGGCAGGGGCAGGCAGGGATGGGAGCCTGGGCTCAGGGTGGTCTACCAGCTGCTTACTCTGCTCCCGAGTTTCCATGTGCAGCCGCTCGCTCTGTCCTGTGACAGGTCTTACTTCACCAGTGGTCTGGTTCCCGGCACAGACTTTGATGCCCCCGTCATGCCCCCTCCCTGGGAAGGAGTCACTGTGTTGGGGGTGGGGCAGGGCCAGGTGCTCTGGGCTGATGCTCGGCTGGTTGGGTACAAATCAGGGTCACGCCTCCTGCGTGTCTGTGTTTCTGGAAGTCAGGCAGCCCCTGTCCTGCTCTGCTCAGTGGACAGGAGTGGGCGCTGAGGTGTAGAGCCTTCCTGGGGGAGCGTGGGGCTAGGTCTTGGGGGGCTCACCCCAGACTGGGAGCCTCTTCACCTTTGGCCTGGGGGAGGGGTGAAGGCCTGTCCTTTCCTTTGGCCCCGGGGCTGGGGTGCAGGTGTGAGAAGTTGGCCGAGATCATCTGGCAGAACCGGCAGCAGATCCGCAGAGCTGAGCACCTCTGCCAGCAGCTGCCCATCCCCGGCCCCGTGGAGGAGATGCTGGCCGAGGTCAATGCCACCATCACAGACATCATCTCCGCCCTGGTGACCAGGTGACTGCTGCCTCTCGGCCACGCCCAGCCCCGCATGTGGTTGGCCTGGGGGAGGCAGGGGGTGCTTTGCAGATGGGGGGGCTCTCACTGGCACCCTTGTCTCTCTCTGCTCACACCCTTTCCCTTCTGTCCCCAGTCGCCGTTGACCTTTCCCAGTTTCTCTTGTGAGCGCTACCTGGGCTGCCCTTGCTTCCTGCAGCCCCGTGCCAGCTGCCGAGTTCACTTCCCTGCCTCCCCTCCCGCCTCCCCGCGGCTCTCAGTGGCCTCCCTGGGAACAGGGTCTCGGCCACGTGCCCTTCCCCTGCCTGCCGAGCCCTGTGTGCGGCCTCCTCCCCACACGGGGGACCAGAGCCCTGTGCCCTGAGGCAGCATCTCGTCCCTTGGGTCCCCGCAGCACGTTCATCATTGAGAAGCAGCCCCCTCAGGTCCTGAAGACCCAGACCAAGTTTGCAGCCACCGTGCGCCTGCTGGTGGGGGGGAAGCTGAACGTGCACATGAACCCCCCCCAGGTGAAGGCCACCATCATCAGCGAGCAGCAGGCCAAGTCGCTGCTCAAGAACGAGAACACCCGCAAGTACGTGCGTCCTTCCTCATTGGTGCCTGACTCCAAGCTCAGGCGGGGGCCTGCCTCTGTCCTACACGTGGAGGCCTAGTGATGGGACAGTGCGGCCTCCCTCTCTGCACTATTTTGTCCTGGCGTTGCAGACACCGTGCGGTGTCTCTCCTGTTCATTCTGTCTGTGCTGGTGTTGCTCCTCCTGAACAGAGGCCTTCCCCAGGCCCTGCTGTGCCCAGCACATAGTAGGTCAACAAGGATTGCACTGCTCGGGTGTTCTAGGGTCTGTGCTAAGTACTGGGACCCAGTATAATCCAAACAGAACTTGACTGTGCTTGACTAGAAGAGTAGGCAGCAGGCATGAGAAGTGCTTACTGGTGAGTGACAAGGGAGACGTGTGGAAGTGGGTCATGATGTAAGTGGAGCAGCGACACTTCGTCTCAGGCTGCAGGATGAATGGGAGGCAGCTAGGGAAGGAGCCTGGAGAGAGCAAACTTCCAGGCAGAGAACATGGGCCTTGTCCGGAAGGTGCATGTGTGGACAGAGAACCCAGGGCTGGGGTCCCAGGGTCGGGGCAGGCCACTCATAAAGGGTGCAGTGCACGAGTGAATGAAGGAGTGGATGTGAGAAGTGGGAGACTTGGTTATGTGGACTGAGGGCCTACCATGTGATCTGGGCATAGGGTGGTGAAGAAGGCCAAGAGGTTCTCACTTTCTTAGATCTTACGTTTTGGCTGGGGAGGGAGACAGTCCTGTGCTTTTGAAAATAAGGCAGTGTCAAAAAGGGATACCCCGGAGAAAGAAAATCAAGACGGAGTGCTATCCCAGCATCTGGGTAGATGTATCAACACCACATGGGTGGTTGAGGAGGGCCTTTCTGCGGAGCTATTTGAATCGAGACCTGAATGAGAAGGTCAAGAATGTTTGGGGCAACAGGAAGAGTGAGTGCAGCAGTCCTGAGGTTGGACCACGCTTGCATGTTCAGCACACAGACGAGGCAGCATGGCTTGCTTATTCTGAATAAGGGAAGAGGAACCCCATGAGGCCAGGGAGGAGGGCGGGGGGTGGTCCTGGGGATACTTGTAGGCTGTGGTCATGATTTTAAGTTCACTAGAAGCTGAAGGGCCTCACATCAGTCTTGATGCTCGAGGTATTTTGAACCTGATGATAGAGACCCAGACCCCACCCTTGACGACCGTTGGGTACGGTCAGGTTGATGAGAAAGTAAGGCCGGGACCCGGCGAAGAACGTTCTCAGGGGGTGGGGCAGGGGCTGTGGGCCCGGCCAGCAGCAGGGCCATGTTCCTGGCCGGCCTGTGTGGAGACGGGGCTTCCCTCTCTTCCACAGTGAGTGCAGTGGAGAGATCTTGAACAACTGCTGTGTCATGGAGTATCACCAAGCCACTGGCACCCTCAGCGCCCACTTCAGGAACATGGTGAGGACAGGGCCTGGCTCTGGGAGGGAGGGAAGGTCTGCCCAGAGCTCGGTCCCTGTAACCAGCTCCTGTCTCCCGGCCCTGCTCTGGCCCTACCTACAGTCGCTAAAGAGGATCAAGCGCGCTGACCGGCGGGGCGCGGAGTCCGTGACGGAGGAGAAGTTCACGGTCCTGTTTGAGTCTCAGTTCAGCGTGGGCAGCAATGAGCTTGTGTTCCAGGTGAAGGTGAGGGCGCGCACTCCCATCGCCCGCAGGTCACCCAGGGAAGCGCAGGGACCTGCCCGCGGCCACCGGGCTGGTTTGGGAACCTAGAGAGCTCCGAGTTGCCCTGTGATGCTATCAGAAAACCTGCTCTCACTCTGCTGGTGCCTGTTTGCGAGGTTGTATTGTAATCTGGCACCGGCCCACAGAACTCAGGCGATGGGCCAGGAAGAAAGATGTTGTGTTTCTTGTGTGTTTGTTTTTGCTTTGGTTTTGGCGGGAGGGGCTTGTGGTTGGGACTGTGGGGAAGCAATGAGGGTGGGGAGTCTTGCCCAAGCCGAGGGCAAGAGGGTGGTCGTATGCCCTCAACTCTCATTCTTTTGACTCGCCTAGACCCTGTCCCTTCCTGTGGTGGTCATTGTTCACGGCAGCCAGGACCACAATGCCACGGCCACCGTGCTGTGGGACAACGCCTTTGCCGAGCCCGTGAGTCCCCTGGGACCCCGTCTCCTGAGCCTAGGATCTCCCAGGGTCATTCTCAACCCCTCGGGGCCCTCCCCCACCCCGGGACCAGCTCGAGTGAGGAGAGGGGAGAGGGGCAGCTGGTGTGAGTGCCCTGCCCTCGGCATGCCCTCGGGCTGTGTCCAGGCTCCTGTCTTAGGATTAGGGTCTCCCAGGTCCGTGAGCTCGGTCTTTGGGATCTGGCCCTTGATCTTCCTTTGGCTTGTGGTTTGGGTCACTGATCTCTGTCCTCAGTCCCCTGGCTGGTCTCTATCTTGCACACCCACCTTCTGCCCCTGCCACCCCGCCTTCCTTTCCCGTGTGTTTGTCTCCTTTTCTGGGTCTTTCTCAGTCCCCTCTGTCTCTAGGTATCTGTAGGTCTGTGTGTCTGTGTTAGTGTGTGAATATTTCCTGCTCCCTCAATCCCCCCCGCCCCTTCTTCTCTCCCCCTCAGGGCAGGGTGCCCTTTGCCGTGCCTGACAAAGTGCTGTGGCCGCAGCTGTGTGAAGCGCTCAACATGAAATTCAAGGCCGAAGTGCAGAGCACCGGGGCCTTGACCAAGGAAAACCTCGTGTTCCTGGCGCAGAAGCTGTTCAACAGCAGCAGCAGCCACCTCGAGGACTACAACAGCATGTCCGCCGGCCGCCGGCCTGGGCCCACCTGGGCCCTGCCACCCCTCCCCCGACTCAGGGACAGGGTTCTGCCTGAGGTCAGTGCCCCACCCTCTCTCACAAGCAGGAGAGATGGAGGGGGCTGGTACCCCAAGGAATGCAGTCAGCTGTGACAGCCAGAGCAGGACCACAGAGAGGAGCCCGGAGCTGAGAGTCAGGATCCTTGGGCTCTAGTCCTCGCCTGGTTAACTATTTTGCCAGGCCCCTGCCCTGCTCTGGGCCTCAGTTTCCCCATCTGTGAAATGAAGGGGTTGGGCAGGAATGGCTGTTGAACGTCCACCCGCCTCCCCATGGGGCTGTCGTGGGCCTCTGGGTCTCAGACCAGAGGCGAGCTGAGTCTCCAGGTCCCTGGCAGAGGGTTGGGGACTGTGTGGACAGCCGCAGTGTGGGACAAGGAGGGCGAGGGATTGGGAGAGGGTCTGGGTGAGGACAAGAGGCACTGATGCTTTCCTGGGCCACCTGTGACGACAGGGGCCCCAGCCCTGACTTGGGGTTTCCTGGGGTTCTCAGGAGAACTTGCCGGGCTGGAACTATACCTTCTGGCAGTGGTTTGACGGGGTCATGGAGGTGCTGAAGAAGCATCACAAGCCCCATTGGAATGACGGGTGAGGAGTGGCGGGCATGGGGGTTGGGAGGGCGGGGGCTCAGGGGACAGTGGCTGCTGGCCCAGCGGTGACACTGTATGTTCCGTGCTCCCAGGGCCATCCTAGGTTTTGTGAATAAGCAACAGGCCCACGACCTGCTCATCAACAAGCCCGATGGGACCTTCTTACTGCGCTTTAGCGACTCAGAAATCGGGGGCATCACCATTGCCTGGAAGTTTGACTCTCGTGAGTGCCCTCTTTTGTCCACACTCCAGCCCCAATTTCCCTGCGCCCCCTTCTCCATCGGGCCTGCCTCCTAAGAAGGTACCTGGTGGGAAAGATAGGAACTGAGCTCAGAGTCTGGGAGGAAACACATTCCCTTTCTGTCATTTCCCGTTTTGGAGAACCTAACATCCTGGCCCCCTAAGGCTCCGGGATCGCTGGGTGAGTCCGTCAGCAGCTCCATGCTCTCCCTTCTCTGCCCTGACCTGGCCTTGTCGGTATCTACTCGCCCGGTTTGCTGCGTAGGATGTTCCCAGGGACGTTGCCTTGCCCTGCGCCAGGGATCTCAGGGATGGGGTTGCCGTGGGGACTAGTAGGAGACCGGGTGTCTCCGCAAGCCTGTCCTGAACCCCACAACCCCGGGCCTCCTGCTGAGGGCGGGCGGCGGGTTGTGGGAACGAGCTTGTCCTCTTCACAGCTGACCGCAACCTGTGGAACCTGAAGCCGTTCACCACGCGGGATTTCTCCATCCGGTCCCTGGCCGACCGGCTGGGCGACCTGAGCTATCTTATCTACGTGTTTCCCGACCGGCCCAAGGATGAGGTCTTCGCCAAGTACTACACGCCTGTGCTCGGTGCGTCCTGCCTGGCCCTCCCCAGCCCTCCTCGGCCCAAGGACTCACTCTCAGGCTAGGCAGTGGGGACTCCCCAAGAGCCCTATGGGCTTCGGTCACGGGATGGTGCAAAGCATGTGGAGAGGATTTCAGGGCTTGTAAGCGAGGAGAGGGAAAGCGAAACCACGGAGCCTGCTTTCTTCTCTGCCAAGGGAAAAGCCGGTAGACTCTCACTTCTGCCCTTGGGAGAGGAGGCTGCAGTGCTGGGGAGGAGCCAGGATGAGTCACACCCACAGATAACGCACTTCTTCATCCACCAGCCCAGCTCCCCGCCCTTACTCCTGCTCCCAGGCGCAGTGCAGGAGCACAGTGGACAGGTTTTTCCTCTTCAACTTGTCCCCAACCCATTGGTTGCGTTGGCTCCTTGGCGTTGATTCTGTTTCCTTGGCAGTGGTAGGGGTGGGGAGAGAGAAAGCAAAGGGCCAGAAAAGGAAGCCGGAGCAGGGATGAGCCTGAAGCCAGGCTCTGGGTAGCCCTCTGGCGGGTCCGTCAGCAGGTGTTCATTTGGGGTCCGTGGGAAATCCCACCCTGGCTGAGGCCCCCGGCAACTGGGATAAGAGGCAGGCTCCATGGGGTGCGTTTCCACCCTCCGACAAGCTCCCAGAAACTTTGGTTCTCATCACAGTTCCCCCCTCGGCAGCTAAAGCCGTGGACGGATACGTGAAGCCACAGATCAAGCAAGTGGTCCCTGAGTAAGTGTCTGGGGTCCAGCTCTGGTCTCCTGCTGCCTCTGTTCCCCCGTTCCATTCTCCCTAAAACCTGGCTCAGCCCTGGGGAGGGAACCGGGCTTGGTCACCATGGGCCAGTGCCCAGGGCCCCCTCCTGCACTTTGTCCTTCTGCACCTGAGAGAGACAGAAAGATGCCCCTGAGCCCCTCCCCTGTCAGCGCTGCCCTGAGGCCGCTGAGGCTCTGCTCTGCTTCCTCCTCCAGGTTTGTGACGTCTGCAGACTCTGCTGGGGGCAATGCCACCTACATAGAACAGGCCCCCTCCCCGGCTGTGGGTCCCCAGGCTCATTACAACATGTACCCACAGAAGTAGGTTGTGTTCTTACAGGGCTTCATGGGGGGCTGGGACTGGGCACTTGGCCTTGGGCTGGACCCCTGGAGGGCTGTGGGCCAAGGAATCCAGAGCTCCTCCAGGTCTGAGACCACCCAGCCCAGGCCAGGCTCTGGCATGTGCCTGCCAGGTGCAGGGAGGGTGAGATCAACCAGTAAAAAGCACAGTGCATTTTGGGACTTAACACACAGCAGGGTCCTTGCTGTGGTGCTGACTAGCTGTGTGACCTTGGGAAAATTATTGAGCCTCTCTGATGCTGTTTTCTCATCTGTAAAATGGAAGCAAGAATACCTGCCTTGGGGGATTGGGGTCAGGAATAACGAGAGAGTGTGTGTAAAGCATTTAGCACAGGTGAGGCTGCTGTAGGGATTTCACACAAGACAGCTATGAATGGGGTGGTCGTTCTTAGGAGCCGGGGGAACAGGGTATCCTTGCTCCTCTCTGGGGTTCCCATGGTAGAGAAGTAATTCTCTTCTGAGTTGTGGATGGTCTGGGCTGGTTGTCTGTTTGCCTGGGAGGCTCAAGCTGTAGTGGGATCCCCACAGGCTTGGGGGGTCGCCAGCCAGGAGGCCCTGAGCAAGATTCCGGACATGGTCAAGCCTCATTTCCTCCTCTGAAAAGCTGAGTAAATGCCTACCTTACAGGTGGCTGGAAGGATTGGAGTAACGTGGTTACAAGGCCCAGGTCCTCGTAGGTGCTCAGTGGATGGTGCCTAGGATTTAATGGAATAGCGCCGCAGGTGGGCAGAGCTCACTGGGTCAGCCACCTCCTTTGACAGCTGAGGACAGGGAGAGGAAAATGAATTCTCCTCTATCACTCAGTGAGGCAGTGAGAGATGAGACTGGGTGCCTCCCAAAGAGCCAGTGACTACATCTTGGGGTGCAGGGGTCTAGCCAGAGCTGGTCTCAGTGGGGAGCAGACTGGGGACTGCCCCCGAGAGCTTGAGGCAGCGAGACCAGCCAGCTCCCTCTGACATCCCCCTCTCTCCACCAGTCCTGACCCCGTCCTTGAGCAGGATGTAGAATTTGACCTGGACGAGACCATGGATGTAGCCCGGCACGTGGAGGAACTCCTACGCCGCCCGATTGACAGTCTGGACCCCCGCCTGTCCCCACCTACCGGGCTCTTCAGCTCTACCAGAGGCTCGCTCTCCTGATGTGTGAACCCCACACTTCTTGGAAACAATACCCGTGCAAAGGGTTCATATTAATTGTGATTTTCGTGTTGCTGTGCATATTGGTGCCCTTGCAGGGCACCGTGTATATTTGTGTGCGAGGTGCGCCACCTCGCCTTCGCAGTCCTAGGTGTGTGGCTGCTGCCCGGGCAGCCGCCGTTTTCTCCAGATCGAGGTATTTCAGGAGAGTCCCCGGGCCCGTCTCTGCGGTGGGAGAGACTGAGCTGCTTCGGTCGCGCCAGGTACTCAGTGCAGGAAGCCGCCTCCTGCTGGGGCCTCCATCTGCTCAGCAGCTATTTGAATGAAACTGTTCAAGGAGGGGAATAGAGACAGGCAGCATCTCTAAGCTTTACTCCTGACTTAGAAGCTTTGCCTCCCAAGTGTGTGTGTGCGCGCGCACATATATGTGCATCTGCTCTCATGCACGCGTGTTGGTCTATTGCTTCTTCCCTTGGAAGGGAGGTTGGGGATGAACATGGACTCCAGACTTTTTGTGAACTGAGAGCTTATCTAGGTTGTGGCCAAGTCCCTCGACCTAGATGGGTCATTTGAGCCGGGCCCGCCAAAGCCGCTCTGAGTGTGTAATTTCTTGGCCTCCTATCCAGAGCGTGATGCCATTGCCAACGCTTCCCGCTCCTTCTCACCCAACATCCCCACCCCTCCATCTGGCCCCCGCCTCCTTTCCTTGCCTCTGTTGCTTATAGGAGAGGTAGGAGAGGGGAAGACAGGTGTAGGACCTGGTATGAACAGGGGACCCAGGACTTGTAGGGCTGACCCCTCTGATCCTGGAAATAACCTGCATGGAGAAACAGCAGCAAATCAGTGGGATCTGGAGTGAGGGGTGAAAGCTGATCTCTGCTTCCAAGCTGCTGGGAGGTGGAACCTGGAAGAGGCCTCATCACAGTTGCATAACCCGCTGTGGTGGGAGAAGGCCTGGCTCGCAACCTCGCTGGCTCCGCCCTCCCAGGCTATCTGGCCTGCAGCCAGGGACAGCTGACAGTGGGATAGTGGGAGCCCCAGGTTGAAACCTCTCTGAAGGCGCAGGGGGGTACGAGGGAGTCTTTTGTACTTTGTACATAGGCCACACATTTGTGAAAAGTGTTTTGAAATAAAATATTTTTTTTTTTTTCATAAAACTGCTGGTGTGGCTCCTGGTCGGGGAGCCCTGGGAGCTGGTGGCGTTTCGCTCCTTCCGTCCTACGTGGCTGACGCTGTGCTGTGTAGCTTGAAGCTACAACCCTGCTCCTTTTCTGTTTTAAGGGTGGGCCAACCCCCCTGGAACACTGTCAGTGCTTCTCACAAGACTAAAAAGCTAAGCCTCGAGGTCTTGGGAAAGGATGGGGCAGGGATTGCTGGGGGAAGGGACGCGAGGAGCGGGAAGAAGTGTGGCTGCTGCTGTGAGCAATCCTGAAGCTGGCAGCTGAGGGCCAGGGCCACCGTGACTCTCAACCCTTCTGGGGCCAGGGTCACTGGAGAGCCTCCCAACCGGCCCTCTTCCCAGAGACCAGCAGATGGCACCATCCCACTGCCACTGTGTCTCAAATGGCCCGAGACCAGGAGGAGGCTGGTCAGGGCAGAAGGGGACAGTCTCCCCAAGGTCCCGGGGCTGTCACTGGGGCCCCTGGGGGAAGGAGGGGGCAAAGGCCTGCTGACAAGACTTCTTCAGAGCTCAAAGGAGGGAAGGGGCTGGCAGCCGCCCCAGGAGGTGCAGGGGCCCAGAGCAGGGTGCTGGGGGTGGGTGGGAAGGGAAGCAGCCGCCAGCCCCGCCTGAGCAAACTAATCTCGCTTCCATCTCTGCAGGGGAAGGCGGCTCATATCTCACACTCCTGCTCAGATCTGCTCCGTGGGACTCGGCACAGGGGGAGGGGGTGGGAGAGCCGAGGGGGCGCCCGTGTCTGTGAATTATCACCACTGACTGCAGGCTGGAGCAGCAGCCGGTTAGTTCACCCCACTGAGTGACTGAAGAGAAAGTGATAATGGAGCAACTGTGGAAGGGGAGGCCTTGGGGGTGGGGTGGGAGATCTCCGTCCCAACCCCCTTAGGTAGCTTATCAGACCCCAGACAGGAGGCCCCGCTTGCAAAGGCCCTGGAGGGAGGAGGGGGGAAGGCCTCCACTCTGACACCTTTGTGTGAAGGAGTATGACCCCTGGCTCTTCCACTGACCCTTACCTGGAAGCTGGTGACTAACATAAGTTGGGGAGGGTTGCTCAGTTGCCCCAAAAGTGGGCCTGAGTCAACTCAGCAATGAGAGGCAAAGGTGACAGAGAGCAGGGCCACCACCTCCTCTCCAGACGCAGGCCTGACCTGTGGGTCAGGCCCCCGCAGAACCTCCCCCAGCCAGAAACAGAGCTGCCACTCTATCAGGCAGGTCCTATATATTTTTATTTTTAGAAGTTAAAGTAGATACAGCAATATACAAAAACACACACACAATAATATAAATTTTTACACTATGAAGTATACATTGGAATTTGGTGCAGTGGCCAGGACAACAGCTTAAAACCACTGTATAAGTAGGTTAAGCGATCAATGGGACCCCTCGGCTGGGCTAGGGTCGGGCAGGGGCAGACAGAAGAGAGAGCGCGGGCAGGTCCTGGAGAACTTGGTTCTTTAAGGGAGCGGCTGACCAAGTCTCAGCTTCTCTCACAACCAGAGTTAAACCCAGATACAAATGCTACTCAAAGCCCTGAACTGTACATCTGCTCCAGAGAAGCCGGATCCTTGCTCCAGATCCCTCGGATCTAGATCTCTCATGTTATGAGTCAAGCTTATTATGAACAAGAGAGTTTCTGGAGAAGGGAGAGCTCTGTGCAACCTGTCAACCGGTTCTAGGCGGGAAGACAGGGATGGCCAAGGGCAACCCCTGTGTGTCTTGGAGAGAAAGTCGTCATCCCCTTAATTCAGAAACTGGCTAACTGGGGTATACCAACAGCATTCCATAGAAACGCCCATCAACTGACTCAGGCGGTTTGGGACCACCCACTACACCCATGCCTCTGGGCCAGAGGGGCCCCAATAGCAAAGACCACCTCTTCCGCTCCTGAGTGTCCCGAAGGGCACAGTAAGTTCGACCTGTTCTGCCTCAGCTGTGGGGCCTCAGCTGGGAGAGTCACCAGTGTGGGGGGGAGCTGGGAGCACGCTCCCTCACACAGGGACAGACTGAGTTTATCAGCAAGCCTTTGCCCCTGGGTTAACCAAGTGAAGAAGTAATTACAGGTGCTGTGGGCAATCACCAAGAAACTGGGGTGAGAGCCACATTCCCTGAGCTCTACCAGACCCTCGATTGGGGCCCCACTGTCTGAGTCATGTTCAACCTGTCACTCTCTCCCTCTTACTCCAGGAGGTCCTGAGACCAGATTCCTAAAGCAAACAGGACAAGGGACCTTTGGACACTGCAAGGGGCCATGCCATAAGAGAGGTGGGGGCTGGGGGGAAGAAAGAGAGTCACCCCATTCTTTATAAGGCACCCACAGAACTTCTGGGCTCTGAATAGGAGCGCATGTCCAAGAGGGAAGGGAGGAAAGGTTATAAGTACCCCTCTGCCAGCCTTACCTACTAACAGACCAACAATAAAAGGAAAATAAAAACTCTATTTAAAAAGACTAGAAGGTTTAGGTTCTCCTTCAACCTTCCTATTTCAAAACCAAAGGCCACGCCACAGCTCCAGAGGTCCTTTAAGGGCTGGGCCTGAGGCCCGTTTCAGGGTTTGTATGAAGTGTCAGCCTGAAGAAAGCTGAATGCCTAAAGCACCAAGGAGGCTATTAACTGAGTTTTCGTAAATACAGAAAAAGGCTATGCTGATACAGTGTTTTTGCCTTTTAATTATTATTATTACTTTAAATTTAAAAAGGAACCTAGGGGCTCTGAAGGTCCTATCTTTTATTTGGATGTTAGCAAGGTTAAAAGTGCAGTGCCAGGGGTATGCGGCTGGAGGCAGCCTGTGGCGTTAGCTTACAGAAAAGGGCAGAGGGATGCCGCTGGCACCAGGAGGCACTTGTCGAACAACAACAACAAGCTGCTGAGAAAGGAGGGCAGGGGGACAAAAACACACGTTTCCTTTCCTTTCCTCCCTCTTGCCACCCCTTCCACATCCCCTGATCACAGTCTCAGAGAACGCTGTCTTATTTGCATTTAGATAAAAGCATATCACCCACATTCATTCATTTCTCTATTTGAAAACAGTGCCCAGATTGCTCAGATAGCAGAAGTAGGAGATTAAAACAAATCTGGAACCACAGAGCGAGGAGTTCAGATGCTCTGGGGCTTGGCTGTCTAAGGGGTGAACAGAGGTGCCTCCGTCATCTCTCGCTGCAGCTTCAGTCCTTGGCGCCTCACATGGGGGAGGTAGCACACTCTGAGGTCAGCTCCATGTCGAATGTGAGGGACTCTGGAGGGACAGACGGGGAGAGCTGGTCAGTTGTCTGGTGAGACACACACCCCTAGCCCTTTGGGGGACAGAGGCTCAGGCCACCTCTGCCACCCAGTCTCCTGCCCCTTGTGGCCAAGTCAGGGTTGGATAACCTAGATTCACTCTCTTCCCTATAGGATCTTGCCCTGGAAGGGCACAGCCCCTTCCTACCTTAACTCATTCCCAACTCTATGTGCTCAAAGACGACCCAGGGCTGCCCTGTTGAATGCGGCAGCCTGGAGTCACAGTGGCTAGTCCAAAGCGAGAGGGGCTGTGGCTGCAAAACACCCAGCAGATTTCAAAGACTCAGTGCAAACACCTCACTCATTTTTTTTCTTACATGTTGAAATGATAGTGTATTGGATTTATTGGGCTTCACAGAAAAATATTAAAATTAACCTCACCTGTTTCCTTTCACTGTTTTTAACGTGGCTACTGGAAGATGTACACTTACGCACGTGGCGTGGTGCATTTCCGCCGGAGAGCACCGCTCTCGAGCCCCTGCTACAATCCCCGTGACCAGCTCTTGGCTCCGCACACGGGCCATCACACAAGGGGGACCAACTGCCCTCCAAATACTCACCAAACTGCCCTCCTGCTGAGGGTTCAGCACCTTCACCATTATTTCCAAACTGCATCAATGAATCTAAAGTGCGGGGGGACATCGGCAGGTCAATGGTATTGCTGCAGGTCGTTCTGTAGGAAATGGGGAGCAGCGGGAGGGGAAAGGGCCGGGTTGACAAGACACAATGGATAAAATAAAAAATAAAAAAAAAGAACAAAACACACACACACAAGCCATCAAACTCTGGTCTCCAACAGAAAAATAAAAGCTCAAGCTTTTTAAATGCACAAGATCACGTGAGTACTGAACACAGCCCAGGCCTCCAACCCTCGCAGAGTAACTCTCACCCATGTCCCATTTCCGGGGTAACTGAGGACATTAGAAATGGAGGCAAAATTGGGAGAGGAGGCCACTTACGGTGTCACACAGATGAACTTGGTCTTCAGGTAGGGGGCAGCACCTGGGAAGAGGAAACGGGCCTTACTGAGTGTGCCCCTCTCGGGGCAGGGCAGGAGGAAGCGGCTGCCCCAGCTGGGCTGACCTGAAACTCACTCCATCCTTGAGCAGAGACTGTTTTGAACCGCCATCTCCCTTCAGGGCTGCCCTCCCACTCTGTACACGACCTGATGTTCTAGGCCAGTGATGGCGAACCTTTTGAGCTCGGTGTGTCAGCATTTTGAAAACCCCAACTTAACTCTAGCGCCGGGTAACATATAGAAATTTTTTGATATTTGCAACCATAGTAAAACAAAGACTTATATTTTTGTTATTTATTTTATATATTTAAATGCCATTTAACAAAGAGAAATCAACCAAAAAAAGAGTTCGCGTGTCACCTGACACGCCTGTCATAGGTTCGCCATCACTGTTCTAGGCCCTTGCAGCCTGGAAGTTCCATGAAGTTTTCCTTAACTACAGAGACTGTCCCACCCGAGCCCAGATAAATCCCAGCCTGTGTTCCTGCTTTCCCTGGACTGTGTTAACGTGTAACTGCCTGGATGTGGTCTGAGGGTAGTGTGCTGGCCGGTCGCGTCACTCGGATGACTTCTCCACATGCAGAAGCAGAGTGTGTGCAGTGTGGGCATCCTGGTCAGTCACCACCGCCCCTCCGTCTCTAAGAGAACGTGAAGCCTCTGATGCTTGTGGTTCCAAAGC